GCACATTATGGAGGAATGATCTTTTCCGGAAGATTGCAAAATTGTACTCTAAGTACAACATTTTCAACGCTAACTAGACTGCTGCGAACAAAAAGGAGGATTTAGTGATCACGTACCGCTAACGAAACGGTGCTACACTAAGAAACATCCTAGAGCAAAATGAAAGGAGAATGTAGGCAAGGCCTCGGTGGCAAAGCAAAGCTCACCTATAAGCTTGTGACAAAGCTCACCGATTATGAAGTATGTGCGCTCAAGGCTCAACAAGGAAACATTGACGAGATGAAGATTGCTGCCCTTGCATTTACTACCGCATGACTTCCACGAATGCAGAGCCACAACATTCACAGTGCCCAAAGGGCGAATATTGGTGGTGTGCACACAGCAAGGCAATGGCTAGGCAGTAAGCCCCACCTAAGCAGAAGGATGTCAAGGGTCAGTTGGCGGTGCACGATATTCGAGCATCGGTACAGCCTTCCTGAATATGTTGCTGAAGCCATCCCTCCAGTCTACACTGTCCCCTTGTATCGAAAGTTGTAACAGCACCATCCCCAAGGCAAAACTCGAAATTCAAAATACAGTCTACATTCAGTAATCAGGGGTGGAAGTGGACTTTAGTGTTTTGGAGCAGCTCAGAGAGCAGCAATAATTCTGCTTTGGAGCCGCTTTGGCACAGCAAAAAGGAGTTTTGGAACAGGTTCCGAGCACCAAAAAGTGTGTTTTGGAGCAATGCAAGTTAGTTTTGAAGCAGCTTTTAGGGTGAAACATCATCGTTAATCGGAATAATTTCTCGTAAATAAATTCCAACTTTTCCTAAACAGTCAGTACTAATGAATGAACTTACCAGACTTACCACCTTCAAAAGAGAGAGAGAGAGAGTGTGTGTGTGTGTGTGCACGTGCGTGCGCGTGTGCACGTGCGCACACGCGCGCGTGTTTGTGTGTGTGTGTGTTTGTGTGTGTGTGTGTGTGTGTGTGAGTGTGAGTGTGAGAGAGAGAGCTGAATGGCTCGTAGCGATACGTCATAAACCTCCGGCGTCAGAAGGATTACATTTTCAGTCGGATAGGCCACACTCGCCAAACCCTGGTTTACTTCGACATGCCTAGTCACACGACAATCACACCTAAAAGACCCAAGTATGTGTACGTGTTGACAACAGGTCATGAGCACACATGCTTCACTATGATGCTGTGCTGCACGACAGATGGGACAAAACTGCAGTCATACATTGTATTTCGCTGCAAAACGCCCCCGAAGAACAAGAAGTTCCCCACGAACGTGATCATACGTGCAAATGAAAAGAAGCTCATGAATAAAATGATGGTAAATAGGGTGGTTCCAGGTGGCTTGGATGAAGCGACTGGGAGCAAACTTGCACCAGCCAAATATGCTGGTCCTAGACTCATTCAGAGGCCACATTTGCCCTGGTGTCAAGGAAGCCCGGCAGAAGGCCAACACAGACCTGGTCATCATACTGGAAGATATGACTTCTCAGCTACAGCCACTTGATTTAACCGTCAACAAGACATTTAAGGACCGTGTTGCAAAGTTCTACAGAGAGTGGCTCGTGGATGACGATGTCTCCACGAGCCTAACGGGACGCCGCAAGAAGGCTCCTCTCAGTGAAGTTGTGACGTGGGTGAAGGACACGTGGAATGACATGCCAGCAGAAATAATCGTGACAGGCTTTAAAAAAGTTGCATTTCAAACATTCCACCACAGCCATAACGTGAAAGCACCCCGAGCGACTCTGCACATCTGACACCAAGTGCTTCTCCCACCTCGACACATCGAAGTGCAAGCTGTTTGGCAGCAAGCACTGCCATCAGTGATGCCATGTCTCTGCAGAGACTAACCTATCACAAGCTGAGCCTTAAACCACGGCCATCCCTCGAGGGCACGCCGAACGACTGCTGATCTGACACCAAGTGCTTCCCCACCTCGACGCTCCGTAGTGCCAGCGGCTCGGCAGCACTACCACCAGCGATGCTATGTCTCTGCCAAGACCAACATATGAAAAGCTGGGCCTTCCATCACGGCCGTCCCGTGAGGGCCCCCCGAACGACTCTAAACATTTGACGCGAAGTGCTTCCCCCATCTCGATGCACCGAAGTGCCAGCAGCTCGGCAGCAAAGCACTACCACCAGCGATGATACATCTCTGCTGAAACCGATGTATGAAAAGCTGGGCCTTCCACCACGGCCGTCCCGTGAGGGTACCCCGAGCGACTCTATACATCTGACAAGTGCTCCTCCCCACAACGTACCGAAGTGCCAGCGGTATGTCGTGACCGAGTACGTCGTGACCGAGCCAGACAAAGCGGACTCCAGAGGCTCAATACCACCGATAGACAGTGGAGTATCATACAGGTCACGGACCTGTGCCGCCTTAAGTGCACCTCCAGACCACCTCACTATGTCGGCGCAGGCACAGCGCCGGATGAACCGCTCTCCGACGTCAGTCGGGCCAAGCAGGGAAAACCTGCTCTCAACGATCAATCAATTTTGAGATATCTCCACTAGCCCCTTGAATGCCCGTTGCTTTATCCACAAATTAGCGTAAAAAATACTTCTCAGGCTTCGCATGGGGTACGTTTCCCTCTCCCTGGGCCGGAGCCACTCCCCTTCCCCCCACTGGAAAGGGGGCTCAGTCCACCCGCCACACGAGTCAGTGGACCGGTCATGGGCCGTCTTTCCGATTCAGAAAGCTCCAATACGCCTACCAGGCTGCCGGTGCTTAAGGCCTTCCGAGCCCCGTCGCCAGTGAGGGAGGCCTAAATCATAAAGCCTCTAGATGTTGGAAAGTAGCGACGCTCCTTTATCCACGCCGGCACTCTCTCGGCGCGCCGGCACCCTCCTCTTTTTTCACCCCCTCTTTCGCGGAGCCCGCGCATCCCAAGCGCTGAATGGCTGCGGCGGGCGATACCACCCAGTCAGATGACCCTGACGTCACGAAAAGCGCGCGCAAGCAAACTTCGCGCGCTTTTCGTCAATCACGCACGCCATGAACCCTCCAGGCGCCACGCCAGCGCTGCCGCTCTGAACGTGTGTAGAAAGCAGTAGATCCACAACATCGGGAGAAAGGACTTCGCCCCTTCTAAACACGTCGTTCTTTGCGAGGTTAGTGTTACCGATTTCGTTAAATCTCTAGATAAAGTCGTACGAAGATTTTAATGCTCTTTGCATCGCTGGACTCTCCGTTCAGTTTAATAGCGAGCACATATAAATATGGATATAGCTGGGTCTGAATGAGTCGCTGAGCTTTTTTTGTAATTCTCTGTGCCCTGAGATAGTTTTCGTGTGTTTTAGCGCGTGCGTTAGTTTTCTTAATGTGTGTAATTTGTAAATTAACGTGTGTAATTCCTACGCATGTGTGTGTGTGTGTGTGCGTGCAGGTGTGCGTTTATGTGTGTGCATGTGCGCTTGCGTGTATGCGTGTGTGTATGTATGCGACTGCATATGCACGCTTATGTGTGTGTGTATGTGTGCGCCTGTGTGTTCGCGCGTTTCTGTACGTCTGTATTCGCGCGTGTGTATGTGCTTGTGCGGACGTGTGTGCGTGCGTTTGTCTATGTATTCGTGCCGGTGCGTGTGTGTGTGTGTGTGTGTGTGTGTGGTGTGTGTGTGTGTGTGTGTAAGCGTGCGCCTGCGTGTGCTGTGTTCTGCGTGTGCTGTGCTGCGTGTTGCGCATGTCTGCATTCGGGCATGTGTGTATGTACGTATGCGCACGTATGTGTGTGCGTGTACGTGTGGGCGCACGTATGTGTGTGCATATGTGCGCCAGCGTGTTCGCGCTTTTCTGTACGTCTGTATTCGCGCATGTGTATGTGCGTGTGCAGACGTGTGTGCGTGCATTTGTCTGTGTATTCGCGCCGGTGTATGTGTGTGCATGTGTGTGCGTGCTCCTGCGTGAGCTGTGTTCTGCGTGTGTGTGCTGCATGTGCTCCGTGTTGCGCGTCTGCGTTCGCGCGTGTGCATGTACGTATGCGCACGTATGTGTGTGCGTGTACGTGTGCGCCTCCATGTGCGTGCGTTTGTGCTTGTGTATGTATGTGCGTGCGAGTGTGTATCTGTGTGCGAGCGCTCGTGCGTTTGTGTGTGCTTGCGTGCTTGTGTGTTCGTGAACCTTGGGCTGGATACTTGTGAAGTCAGGAACTCGTTTACTGTTGTTGCGTGCTGTCTGTATATTTACAAAGTTTCAATACGGTTATAGTATTTTGTTGTTCTTTACGTACACTTCATGTTTCGAAGGCTTGGACCCTAATATATAAGTAGGTAAATGACGTTTCGTTTTTGTTACATGTGTAAAGTGCACGCTTGCACCGTTTTTTACTTCAAGAGTGAAAACGAATTCGAATGGGAGAGATGTGTTTGAGATGTGTTTGTTACTATGCGTATACTCATATATCACGGTCATGTTTCAGCTCCATTTCACCAATGATCAGTTTGAGCCGAAAGTATTGGAAGCCCATGGACTGAAAAAATTGAAGCCCAACGCAATTCCTACTTTGTTCTCGCATCGGCCGCCGCCAAAAGAACGAAAACCCCCGTCAAAGAGGTTGGAAATTCGCAAGAAATGCTCAAGAAAACGTAAGGCACTCTTCAGTGACGTTCCCTTATTAAATATAGCATTCTAATGCGTATCTTAACTACATAATGGAACACAAGTGACGGAGAAATACTGTTGTTCGAAATCAGACCATCCACTCAATGGTGATTAAAGATTACACACACGGCGCTGAAATGCGGAAAATATTGTAGTTTTTTGCCATATACCTAAGCACGATGATTCGATCTCAATCCAACCTTTATAATTATGTCAAAGTGTAGCAGAAAAGTCATTGTAGTTTTGAATTCCTGTTACAGAAAGCCACGTAAACTATGGAGGGCCGCTCGACGCCGAAGCGCCGAAAGTATTTCATAAAAAGCACGAGTTCTGTTGCGAGTGTCCATCTTGTGATTTGACCTTTCTTTGAATTACGTGATTCAGCGGGTTTGTAATACATGTGGGCGTATTCTGGTTGTATCACAATAGGTGAGGAATCCGTACTGGAGCATACCACAAGCAAACAAGGAGCGTTTGCTGAAAATCAGTGTAGCTCCCCAGAATCGGCAGACTCTGCTGGCTCCGCTTCTTCTGCAGAGGTAGCAGAGCCCGAAGTTAACGAAGTTTGCGAAAACGAAGTTAACCAGCTGGTGGAATCTCCTTTTGAAATCGTCCACGACAACTCCTGTAAGAGTCGCCTGAATGATTTGTGTGGAATGCCACCGTAATTTTGTTTCTCAAAAATATTTCCACCTGTCCTTTTTATGTGCAGCCCATGACAGATTTAGCCCTGAGGTCAGCAGCAACGCAACTCAAGATATTGCAGCAGTTGATAATGGTAAACCAAACGTTGCTTTTTTTGATTTTGTGGTCTAAGCATTGACATTTCACCATCCAAACAGGCTTCCCTGGAACTACATGTCAACCGGCGATGAACGCAACCAGTACTGCACGACCTGTGCTTTACACTTGTAAGAGACGAACTGTTGAACACTCAGACTTATCCTAATTTGTAACATGTAATATTGAGGGCTTACGTCTGAATTGCTTTCAGCGTGCCAAGAAGCAATCCAGGGACGAATTGCGGAGCTCGAACGTCTACAGGAAGCTACCGCGAGGAAACTGGCGCTCGCTAGGAAGAGGTATCTTAAAAGCGAAGAAGAAAAGGAAGAAATCAAGAAAAGGCTCAAAGGACTTTTTAATGATGACGAAATGAGGTCGATGAAACGACTGTTCGCGCAGGGAGCGCGATGGGAAGCAGGCACACTCGTCAAATCGCTGCAGCTGCGCCTGGCGTGCGGTTCCCAAGGATACGGACTCCTGAGGGAGTTCGGATATCCACTCCCGTCGGACCGTATGCTTCAGCGCCACATTCAGCACGTCAAGTTTCGACCTGGATTCATTTCATTTCATTTCATTTATTTATACTGTTAGCCCAGAAGTGGGCCGTTACAGGGTGGAAGTACAAACAATTATTTGCAAAAAAGAAGTACCGTACAGGTCTCGAGATAATTTCTCGGTATTATTGTGACTAGCAACTCGAAGTTATACATAACATACATAAATGGAACACACATGCGATGCAATACATACACGCAGAACAGCACATGACGCATTTGAGGCGGCACTTTTACACCGCGCTGAAGATTTGAAAGACAACTACTGCAGAATCATGCAACCAACAAAAAGTACACACACACGCCAAGAAAAAAAAAAACATATGTCACTGTTATTCGGAAAATAAACGTTTTAGATTCTGTTCAAATGATGTAAGCGAGGAACAACCAATTATAGACTCTGGCAGCATATTCCAATCTTCAATAGCACGTGGAAAGTAACTAAACTTAAAGCAATCGTTACGTGGGACTAGGGGTGGTATATACATATTATGGCGATGTCTGGAGTGTTCTTGTGTGTTGACCTGGAAGTAATCTGAATAGTTTAGTTTAAAATGATTATGAATTAACTGGAAGAGGAATTTCAGACGCTCAATCCTCGTCCTAAGTTCAGGACTATCCAGTCCAGCTTTTTTACAGAGTTCAGTAGGAGAATGATGTCGGGGATATTTATTAAAAATAGATCTCGCACCAAGTCGCTGTATTTTTGTTATTTTATTGCAGTTTGTCTTTGTGTAAGGGTCCCAGACAATTTTAGAATATTCGATAATAGGTCTGACAAGAGTTTTGTAAGCATTACTGAGAGATATACTGGAGCCTCTAAGGGCGAAGGTATGGCTTGGGTAAAACGCTTGCATCACCAAATTTTCTGTGTCAGCAAATAGTAGCAAACACAAATACTGGATACTTGAACCTGTGGTTACGACTGGAACTTCTCGGGGGAAAATGATTTTGGCCCATTGCTATAACTTGACACATGTCTTTCTAATCTACTAAATCTTCTGTAAAATGACTTGTTTTTTCTTCGTCTGGTAATTCCATTGTGCAGGTCAACCTTATGCAACCTGAAGAACGCCATGCTTCGTTGATGATCGATGAGATGCAGATTACACCAGGGCTCGTATATGACCATTCCTGCTGTAATGTGATGGGAGCTCCTACGTTACCACTGGCCGACGGATCGCTCCCAGACGACTGTCTTGCTACCCACGGCTTAGTTTTTATGCTCGGGGGATTCTCATCTAGGTGGAAGCAGACAATTGGTTATCATTTAACTGGAAATTAGTTTGACGCGAACAGCCTAAGAAGCGAATTGATTAACATAATAACGGCTTGTGAGTCGCTCGGATTAAAAATTCATGTGCTAGTATCCGATATGGGTGGCGGAAATCTGGCATTATGGCGACTGTTCGGTATTCGTGCAGGAAAGTATAGCCGGCCATCGACTAGCTGTGTTCACCCTTGTGATCAGTCAAGGCGACTGTGGTTTATGCCAGATGTGCCTCACCTTTTAAAGAGCCTTAGAAATCACCTGACAAGAGGCCAGGCTATTTACCTTCCCGATGACATCGTGAAAATGCATCAACTGCCTACAAACTGTGTTGATCTTCGTTATGTGAAAGAACTTATTGAACACGACGAAAAAAGTGAGATCAAGCTTGCTCCTCACCTTAACTCGTCTTGTGTTGAGCCAAACCATTATGACAAAATCAAAGTGAAATTCACATACAGTCTATTTCATAACGATACATCTGCTGGCTTGCACATGTTAGTTGAAAATGGTAAGATTAGCAAGGACGCACTGACTACGGCTTGGTTCATTTCGACCGTTTTTCGGTGGTTTAGGCTAATGACATCAAGGACTAGTAAACTGGCGTTTAGCCATTCAGTGCAAGCAGCTTATGGTGAAGCTGTCAAGTTCCTTACTGAAATTGTTGACTTATTCTCAAAGATTTCTATAGGGGCTCCGACAAATGCACCTTGGAAGCCAATACAGACCGGCATCACTGTCGCCACATTGACTGCATTAGATCTTCAATCTACGATGCTTGACAAGTATAACTTCAGCTATTTCTTATTGAGCAGACTCAGCCAGGACCCACTTGAAAACTTGTTTTCAACCCTGCGCTCGAAAAACCCCATTCCGAGATTGTATGAATTCAAGTGCAGTCTGAGGAGTGCTACGTTAGCACAGTTCTTAAGGCCGAGCAAGAACGCCAGTTATTCGGATGATGGAGCGTTTATGCTGTTATCCCTTGAAGACCAGCCGAACAATGAGGGTCAGGAGCAAGTGCAACTTCCAGATGACCTACTCGATCTAACAAGTGAAGCAGATCAGTCGATAGAATACTTGGCAGGGTATGTTGTATCCAAACTGCTGAAACGGCTGCACTGTGAAAACTGCCGCGCCGCACTCGTCAGCGATAAGGCACCAGCAAAATTAATCTCACTGAAGAACTTCTCAGAGTCGGGCCTTGCGCTGGTTAACCCTTCGCCTGCTGTCGTGGAGATTCTCAAGGTGACGGAAAACTTATTCAGAAGCAACAGAGAGGCACTCATAAAAAACACTGTGACCGCTGTAGAACTTCAGGCTGCAGTCCCTAGAAGCATTTCCATTGTGACTTGTTTCCCTGCATGCCATGAAATCATTAAAGATATTGTAGGCATCTATGCCAAACTGCGAATTCACATTCTTGTCAGAAACGAGGCATCAAAAATAGTCCCCGCTACAAACGGCAAGTGTGCAAGCAAAAGCGTTGGCATGCACGTCGCTGCGGCAAACATATGCTGACAATTGTGCCCGCCTGCAGCAGATGCGATTTATTTCGTCGTTGTGTGTGTAGCGCTAGAATAACGACGTTTGTAGCATGCGCAGTACCTCTGAATAATATATATGTAGGTAGACCTTTACTGTATGAGAGCTGTCTTGCTGTTCATGTAACCCATGTACAGATATCTTGGGCGTAAATAGCATGCGCCTTGGCTTCGAATTTCTTACAACGAGCGGTTCTTCATTGTTGCGCAAAAATAAACGCGTTGCTACTGAAATTTCTTTTCTTCTTCAGCTAACTGCACAGTGAGCCTACATGCATTTTCTTGGTTCACTGGACACAGTGAATTTACGGCAAGTAAAACTACCTTCCTATTGCAATCATAGTTACATATTCCTCAAAATTTAGTTAATATGATAAACTGTGTTCAAGAAATTAACGACAAACAACTTCTCAGTCGAGGAAAAATACTTTGTAGCTAGAGTAGTACATTTTTAGAACCACATACCAGTCCGGTCCGGAACCTTCCGCGCCGCCTTGATTATTTTGTAGTTCAATGCCATCAGTTATGAAACACCGGTAGCATTTTTCATTGAATTATTCTTTTGAATAAAATCAAACGATTATACTCCTTCGACCTTCGTGCATATAGAAGAACATATGTTGGTTAGGCTAAAGTAAAACATCTCACAGGGTTCCTTATGCGTTCATTTAGGACGACTCGAAGGAGAAAACAATCTTCTTTTTCCTCTCAGCCATTGTATTTAGGTGTATTGATGCTGCCCTGCCACCCTTCCAAAGCTTTCTGCGCCTATCGTGATTTTGCACTACCTCCAAGTTTGGAGGCACCCCGCCTGGTTTTGCATTGCCTCCGTGATCGGTACACCTTTGACCAAGCTACGACGCGATGTGATGACGTCATCATGTGACGCTACGTGACGTCATGATGACGTCACAAGGACGTCACGTAGCATCACATGATGACGTCATCACATCGCGTCGTAGCTTTGTCAAAGATGTACCGATTACGGAGGCAATGCAAAACCAGGTGGGGTGCCTCAGAACGTCACAAATTTTGGCGATCTGTGACGTGTTTGGTGACGTCACCAGATGATGACCTTTTTCATCACTATATATAGTCACCGACGCCACGGGACGCGAGACGCCTTCGACGCGGGTCGCCGACGGTCAATTTCCGCGTTTGATGAGGCAGCTAAGGCTTTCGTCTTAATAAGTCAATTAACAACCGCTCAATGATATCTTGGCAGCAGCCGTAAAGTAAATAGCCCTACGCACGGAAGCAAAGTTACGTATCTGGTATATGTATGTATTATGCGTGTATGCTCATATAAAGAAAGAGCCACGTACGCGCTTTTCGTAATGGCTCTCTTCTGATAAACTTTACATCCTGAATTTTGTGAGTTAATTATAGCGTAACATAGTCTTAGAAGCTTCCATCTGAGCGGTGGATTTTGCTTTTTTTTAACAGACTGAGGTAAGTCCCAAAGTTAATGGAATGCAATATCTCGTCGTTTCATCGTGACGGAAGCCAGGCACGCACGGTGACTTCTATGCTTGCTTTTCGCCAACACAACATGAATTTTACAAAGCGACACTGCAGCACTTATCAAGTTCTCGTCTATACAATGTGCTGCCTACATTACATGCACTTAATACACATCCACGTTACAGACAGCCGAAGCGGCGATGGAGAGGTAAACCGCTAAGCCGCAAGCTGGTATGCTCATTTTTTCGAAGCGCTTCCGCTCGTATTTATCGAATCTTCTTAAAAAATATGTCTGCCATAATGTTCTATGGGAAGCCTACTTTCGTCATGACTCTTTCTTAAGGGACATATTCTCGTATAATGCTTCAAGGAACCGATTAAACAAGCGCGCGCATTGAATCTAATGCGGCTGCAGCGAGCCAGTGGAGGGTTCAGCGTGCCGTGCGCACCGCGCCGGCCGGGAGAGGAGAGAAATCCGAGGAGAATTGAGGAGGAAAACGCGCGCGCGGAGGAGAGTGTCGCTACTTTTTAGATCTAGGGGCTTTACTAAATCAGATATCCCCCTCACCGCCTCGTGGTAAAGCGAAGCGGTGAGTAGCGTGTAGCCAGCCGACCACGCCCGCACGGACGACACAGCCTTCGCCTTATACTTTAACCACCTTTCTAAATAGGACGCGATGGGCTTGAGGGTCGCCACGACAGCGCTTGTCAACTGGTACAAACTGAGGGGAAATGCTGGATCACAAGAAGAAAACAGAAGTGCCAAGACCTCAGATGCACGCGTGGTACACCTGTAGAGCCCACCCACATAAGAGCGGTAGTCAATGTATCCCACAACGGATATCGCTCTCCTGAGGGCGGTCACTTCAAAAGAACAGGCCGAAACGGTCCTTCTGGATGCTTCTGTGTCCAACACAATGGACAAAGCAAGTGACGTCAAATTGACGTTTCTCATATCAGGGATACCCATGATGGATTCCGAGAACGCACGCCAAGTTAGCTTTCTGAGAAGGTATATATTGATATTTCTAAATTCAAATTTCTTGGTGGGCTTGAGAGGAATTGAAACTCTCAAAAAGTTCCAAAGGGAAGGAATATGTGTGGAAGACATCTCCTTGGAGCGTTGGTAATCAACCGAGTACGTCGTGACCGAGCCAGACAAAGCGGACTCCAGAGGCCCAATACCACCGATAGACAGTGGAGTATTATTCAGGTCACGGACCTGTGCCTTCTTAAGTGCACCTCCAGACCACCTCGCTATGTCGGCGCAGGCACAGCGCCGGATGAACCGCTCTCCGACGTCAGTCGGGCCAAGCAGGGAAAACCTGCTCTCAACGATCAACCAATTTTCAGATATCTCCACTAGCCCCTTGAATGCCCGTTGCTCTATCCACGGATTAGCGTAAAAAATATTTCTCAGGCTTCGCATGGAGTACGTTTTCTTTCCCTCGGGCGTGTAAATAGCCCGAAGGAAATCACCATCACTACCTATGAGGCATTTCGACTTATGTGTTATGACTCCAAGATCCCTCATATAATCTATGGAGTCAGCAAGGTCGTGAGTGGATGAATATAGGATAATGTCATCGCCTTGCACGATGTATCCTACGGACGCACGACTCTTGACCAGTCCTCTCGACCTAACATTCTGTGTGTAATGTTCGCAACACAGTGCGGAGATCAACGACCCCACGAATGACGTCGACCTCCACCCGCTCAGCAGTACCTTGCTGTATGGGATGTGTGCACCCAACACCTCAACCACCAACCCATCCAGCTCAGACACCAATCCATCACAATTGGCCGCTGTGTCTTGAAAATCTCTGAGTTTGCGCTTGCGCAAACAGTGCGCAAGCACTTCCCATATCATCTGCAGCAGCCATTTAGGGACATTGTGATCAAATCGGGAGGCATCGATCGCTGAATAGTAGTGGGAGTAGTACGTAGAGAACATTGGCCATGAGCGAAGGTTGGGAGATCGTGCTGTTGAGAAAGCGAGGGGGCCCCAGCAGGTCCAGGACGAAACACGTACCAACGTACGAATGCATGGGGGTCCATATTATGACCCGGGTTTTTGCCTCCTCCTTTAGCACAGCGTGACATATATTTGAGGGCCAGAGAAGCTCCTCCATGTCACCAAACATCAGAGCAGAGACGCCCGCGATGGTCTTGGTCCAGAAGGCCATTTTTTCCTCATCGGGAAACAACCTCTTCAAGGACTTAAGGAACTGGGGCGTGGGGGACGCCCCCCCGGAAGTACCCCAACGAACAGAGTAGTTGCGATACTCCCGGAAAGACACCCCCCCCCCCCGTCCCCGCCTTGGGCCCGTTGACCCAGACGTCAAACCACTGTTCAAGCGTCTGCTCGACCCATTCCTTGTGCTGCGCAAAAAGAAGGGACTCACCCTGCCCCCACTTTCGGACCTGCCAGATTACCTCCTCGTGATCCCAACCGCGTGGACCTCCTGCCGTGTAAAGCCCCGAGACAGCCAACCTGGCGTCTGTTCCATAGGCGCTCACCTCCCTCTCAATGTCCGCGAGGATCGTACGAATGACGTCATCCCTGTGCCTATCAAAATCAGCGGCCAGGACCTCCTGGCTGGGCTGGGGGACACATACAACGTGCGAAGCCACGAGCACGCGCCTTTCCACCTGAGCAAGAAAGCTCCGGTAGAAGGCCGATGCGTCGGGAGACGTCGACTCGACGACGTCACAGAAATCGAGAAGGAGGGAGAGGGGCCCGGTGAAAGAACCAGCCTACTTGACCAGATGATTGAGGTGGGACAAGGACGTGTACCTAGACCTTCGAAGGGAATGAAGCCTAGCATAATTGGCCGCTAGGAAGGTAGAGCTTGTGCTCCCCCTCAATGAGGCCGAGCGCCCTGGCCATCCTAAAGGTAGGGCTGGCCGCGCAGACAGCAAGGAATGGTGACACACCGAGCAGATTTTCGTCAAATCCGGGTGGGTAGGCAGCTCCCTCGGGTGCCGCAAAAGTGGCCTCCGGGAGCATGCCAGACTGTCCAATGTTGTACCACCCTAGCCACGTCAAGTGAACAGGTGCCGCAGCAGTCCATTGTTCGCCAGCGGGCCAGACTTTCACTTTTGGAAACGATCTTCCGTTCGCCTGCTCAAATAAGTGGGCCAGGGTGGAGAAGAGTCCAATTGAATCTCCGTTTGTTTCAGCCTTCACGAGCGGGTCGACGAAGAAGCGCCTGCTCATTTGGGATGCCAGCGCTAGTGCATGTTCAGCGCAGCCTGGTGTAGCAATGTAATTGTACATGTACTCCCAGGCCAGGCTGACGTCCAGCTGCCTGCCCCCTGGAGCCACATCCTCTCCTGCGGGTCCAAGGAACGCGTCAACCAGATCGCACACACCTGGCAGTCCGAGATTATCGAAATTGCAGAGTGCGTGTCCGATGATCGGGACTTGCACTCCGCTCCGTCCGCTGTCGAAATTTCGGGCCTTGGCCTGTTTGTGCTCGGTGTCTATGAGCACGATTAGGATGTTGAAGTCGCCAGTGATGTAGTTTAGCGACGCGTACGGGGCCGTCAGAATTGTGACGTCCTTCTGGCCCTCCGGAGCCAGGGAGTCCTTACATCCGTGGGAGTACCAGACACGCATGCTCCAGTACTCTGGGCCCACGAACGAGAGGAGGTATGGGACCGCAAACCGGTTCCCAAGTGCACTGAGCGCCATGGGAACCAGCGCAGTCCCGCTCCCCCACGTCCCCGGTCCCAGTTCAGCGTAGTCGCCCTCCAGGATGAAGGATCCTCCGAGGATCCGTGTGTACGTTCCGAGATCAACACACCCAATCTTCCCGGTGGGCACGCCGGCGCCAGGTCCCTCCACCCTCCGCTTGACAGTATCGATCCGCAAGCTTGGCACGAATCTGGTTGGCAGTTGGGTCAGCTTGTTGATGTTAGAGGCCAACACCACCAGTTCGTTCAGGAGAGCACACCTCACCATAGGCGCTTCATCGCGCACAGGGAAGGTAAGGTGGCCGACGAACGAAGTGATGTTGACCATTGCGGCGGTGTCGATAGTGCCGGGAAGGCAGAAGATCCTGCCGGCGGCGAACTCACCGAGGTTTTGGGCCAGGGCAGAGATCATATGTTCATAGACCGGGGTTAAGATGACTTCACCGGTCCTACCGCTTCCATCTCCCGTAAGGCAGCGAGCCGGAAAGGGATGTAACTCAACTGTGTCTCGAGGAATTCTTGGCCACGGGCCACCTTGATTGACACAGGACACAATGGCTCAGCCCACTGCCATGGGGTCAGGTGAACGAGAAATGTCGTAGTCTGTTGCAGCGCGACCTGGTCCAGTAACGGGGCAGCCCCCATCACCAAGGACATAGCCTTGAGTATGGGGAGGTCCCAACTAGCCCGGGCCGCACTGATGGGAGTGGACAGCACGCGGTCATCAGAAACAGCAGAGGTAGAAGTTCTCTTCTCTGCTGTCTCTGCCGTTTCTGCTGTGCTATTTAAGGGATAGCTCCCCCGGAATCTTCCGAGGCGGGGTCCCGAATTCCGCCAAGGGCTCTGAGCCACACCAGCACCACCTGTGGCACCACACACAGACAGAGAAGAGAAAGACTAAACAAAAAAGCAGAGAAGGAAAAATAGAAAATTTAAAAGTTTTTATAAAAATTATAAAGAAAGGTGGAGGGTGCGGCTCGGCAGCAAGCACTACCACCAGCGATGCCATGTCTCTGCCGAGACCGACGTATGAAAAGCTGGGCCTTCCAACTCAGCCATCCCGTGAGAGCACCTCGAGCGACTCTACACATCTTATGCCAAGTGCTTCCCCCACCTCGACGCATCGAAGTGCCAGCGGCTCAGCAGCAAGCACTGCCACTAGCGATGCCATGTCTCTGCCGAGACCGACGTATGAAAAGCTGGGCCTTCCAACTCTGCCATCCCGTGAGAGCACCTCGAGCGACTCTACACATCTTATGCCAAGTGCTTCCCCCACCTCGACGCATCGAAGTGCCAGCGGCTCAGCAGCAAGCACTGCCACTAGCGATGCCATGTCTCTGCCGAGACCGACGTATGAAAAGCTGGGCCTTCCACCACGGTCGTCCCGTGAGAGCCCCCCGAGCGACTCTACACATCTTATGCCAAGTGCTTCCCCCCCCTCGACGCATCGAAGTGCCAGCGGCTCAGCAGCAAGCACTGCCACTAGCGATGCCATGTCTCTGCCGAGACCGACGTATGAAAAGCTGGGCCTTCCACCACGGTCGTCCCGTGAGAGCCCCCCGAGCGACTCTACACATCTGATGCCAAGTGCTTCCCCCACCTCGACGCACTGATGTGCCACACATCGAAGTGCCAGCGGCTCAGCAGCAAGCACTGCCACTAGCGATGCCATGTCTCTGCCGAGACCGACGTATGAAAAGGTGGGCCTTCCACCACGGTCGTCCCGTGAGAGCCCCCCCGAGCGACTCTACACATCTGATGCCAAGTGCTTCCCCCACCTCGACGCACCGATGTGCCAGCGGCTTGGCAGCAAGCACTACTATCAGCGATGCCATGTCTTTGCCGAGACGGACGTATGAAAAGCTGGGCCTTCCACCACGGTCGACCCGTGAGGATCCCCCGAGCGACTCTACACATATGACGCCAAGTACTTCCCCCACTTCGACGCACCGAACTGCCAGCGGCTCGGCAGCAAGCACTGCAACTAGCGATGCCATGTCTCTGCAGAGACCCTGACGTATGAAAAGCTGGGCCTTCCACCTCAGCCATCCCGTGAGAGCACCTCGAGCGACTTCGCACAAATGACCCCAAGTGCTTCCCCTGCGTAAGCATGTTTTTGAGTTCAGACCGATAGAATGGGGAGCTGTCAATATTGCTGGCAGACATGAACAAAAAAGGCCGTAGGAACGGCCGCCTAGTTCAACTATTTGTCAGTGGCAAGAGTTTAATCTAATTTTCATTCTTGCAATCTTCTTGTTTCTGACATGTTTCATCATCTTTTCACAAAATTTGCTTCAACAATTCTGCATATCTTTTCAATTATCGCAACCTAAAAATACGGTTCTGCGAGCGTTTCCCTTTAAAGTGGGCACGAATACTGGGTGTTTTCACCACATGCCACTTCAGAACAGTACGCTCCATCGGCACCATTTTGGTATTGTTCAAAAGCTTGGTTTTCAGACATTTTTTTTAGTTCCTTCGGCAACCCTGTGAATTCCCGAGAGGCAAGAAAAAAAGCACCCGAAAAAAAAAAGAGCTTTGGCACGTTGCCATTCGTCAAATGAGACACGTGATCAGAATTCTGTCATCTGGTTGGCCTAAGTGCCATGTCGCCATTTAGACAGACTGCGTGTGACTACAACCACCATGCTCGACTCGCCTCTATGTCAATAGCTCGCTTGATCGGCGCAGGAAGTTTATCATGCCTGGCCGTGCAAAAAAGTTTCATACATGCCATCACTTTGGGCGTAAAAGACAAAGGGGAAAAGTGCATGGAAAGGACATGGCATCGTCGCAAACAGCCGTTCACAGAGCACCGCCGGACCACGCCATTGATGCCGGTAGTGCACTGGCTCCAGTTACGCAGTCTACAAGCCACGCTTGTGGTGAGAGATTAGACTCTGAGCTCGTAACCCAAGAGGAAGTGCGGGAGGCGCACGCAGGAGAACAAGCAGTGCTTTAACAGCTTAGATCAATGCCAGCGACTACGCAGGAGATCGAAAACTTCTGCTGACAAAGCGGCACAGAGACTATAGCGACGGAAGATGCAGCTCCGTACACTATCATGGACCTCAACGTTGTCAATGAAATCGATTTGATATGTGAGGTTTAACATCCCACAACCACCATATGATTATGAGAGACACTATAGTAGAGGGCCCCAGAAATTTCGAACACCTGGGGTTCTTCAACGTGCACCCAAATCTGAGCACATGGGCCTCCAGCATTTCCGCCTCCATCGGAAATGCAGCCGCCGAAGCCGGGATTTGATCCCGCGACCAGCCGGTCAGCAACCGAGTACCTTAGCCACTAGGCCGCCGAGGCGGGGCGCTGTCAATTATCTCGTTCTTCAAGCTATGCGTTGTCACATCTGCCATGCAAAAGTCAAGCTAACCCGCCCCGATCTTAAGTACGATTTGGCAGTAAAGCTAGATGTGATGTGCGACAACTGCGGCGAAATCGGGGATGCTTGGAGCTCGCGTCGAGTGGAACGCTCTGTAATATCGAGACCATTTGCAATAGACATGCTAGCAAAACGCGCAATGCTTTCGCCTAACAACAGCCAGACTGCAATGAACAACATATTTTTCGCAATGGGGCTGTGCCGTCGAGCAAGGAATGCATAACAAAAATCACCTGAAACCCGCTGCTACACGAGCAGCTGAGGATGCTTGCGGCAGTGTGTGCGTAAAGTGTCATCGCTCTTTGAGGACTTGTGTTTTGAACACCGTGATAACATTGCAGTGCGTTTCGATGGAAGCTATATGGCTCGAGGTCACCCTTCACGCATCGGCATTGGAGCTCTTACTGATCTTTTTACAGGTTATGTTCAGGACTACGTCGTGCTTTCATATTTTTGTTTGAGCTGCAAGGTGGGACTGAAACTTGGTAGCGAGGGCTATGAGCAATGGAAAAATGCTAATCACTGCCAGAAGAACACCAGTAGTAAATCTCACCAAATGGAGGTCGAAAAAGGCCGCGTCCTTTTTCAGAAGTCCCTTGACCAGCACAATCTTTTCTATACAACAGTTTTGTGTGACTGCGACACCAGAACATACAATGCCATAAGAGAAAGATGCCAAAGTTCATAGTTTAATTGACATAGAAAAAGAAGAATGCATAAAGCATGCGCAAAGGGGAATGGGGACAGCTTTGAGGAACTTAGTTTAAAGGCAAAAAAAAAAATAAACGAAGGTCGCAGTTGTGGGAATCGAGGCCAGCCCGCTGCCTTTGCGCGGGCTTTGCCGCCTTTTCTGCCGTTCTCATGTCCCGACATGTCTTTCCTCCTTTGCTGTCTGTCGCGCTGGGAGAGCGGAGCGACGTTTAACCCCCTCACCTGGTAGCGAATGTCGACTGTGGCGCCGCGCACGCAGTCTCCCGAGAGGTTTTGCGCGCATGCGTTGAGAGCGGGTCAGAGACCTCTCCGGAGACGACATGGGGGTAAGCAAGCTTTTCTTTTTCGTCTGTCAGCTCCCTGTGGGGCTCGTTCAGACTTCGCCAACAGCGCCTGGCAACCGAGGCAAACGCTCACCTTATGTCGCCCCCCCCCCCCTTTCCGAACGCTAGGCTGAAGAGTGGTGCGGGTTTCTAGTGCGTGGCCAGGCTACACCGACCCGTATCTGTCCGAAGCCAACGCGAGCGCCTTTGCCCTCGCCCGAGCAACCGGGCGTTGGTCCCGGTGTCTCAGTGAATCACTTTCACCGTGAAGACGTGCTCGTGGTGGCACCCTGTGTGGTACTTTGCACCCATGGCGTGGGTAAGCCCATTTGCTTTCCCGCCACACCTTTGCAACGGGCTGTACTGCGTTTTGGTGTTGCCACAGACAATAAAGTGTTGCGACCTTGAGCAGAACTGTGTTCTCGCCATGGCGACAGTTAACGCGTGCCCTGCGGCTCGCTAAGACCGGACCCACGCCAGTGGCCACACACTTTCCGGATACGTGTCACTACACTGGTGCACAACCTGGTATCAAAAGCTCTAAGCTTTTTGATTGCTCTTAGCGAGTCAGTTCGCCTGCGCGATTCGGGCTCGTCGCAACATGTCTGCTTTGAGGCATGCAGTGTTGCACAAAGAGGCCATCGCCTCTATCGATGGGCACCCTTCAGCACCCGTCTGTGTCATCACCCCCTTTTGTGGTGAATACACAACCAACGTGGTAGCTGACGCACTATCACGTGCCCCCTTTTGTTTGCAGAGAACCTGGATTTCGGTACGACGGCCGCTCGCGATGCCTTAGCACATGCAAGCGTCGAGGGCGAAACAGCGGCGAAAAGGGGGAGTCCCCATGATGACGACTTTAGCTGCTATCCAGGTAAGCGGCACACTGCATAGCGGCCGAGCGGGGGAATTTTCCGAAGGCCTTTGTGCCGAGAGCGAACCCGTGACACCGTGCACGCGGCGGTTGCTGCGGTCCTGAGTGGGCGCGATACCAGACTCCCTCATTTGGGAGAATGGGAATCGCTTTCGGCAGCGAAGAGCTACTAAAGGCTCAGCAAAGTGATCCGTTTCGAGTCTCAGAGGGATAGAGCGCCGTATACACTGCTTGATCTGCGGCCGACGCCGATAATTTGTCTTGAAGAGGCGCGGAGCGCCGTTACGCTGCTTGTTCTGCGGCGGGCGGGAATAGGGGGCTGAAACAGCGCGTGTCGCGGAGTCCCCGGCGTATTCATTTTTGCTGGACTATGACGACGTTCTGCTGAACTATATAGCCACCAGTGGTGCCAATTTAGCGGATTTCCCGCTAAATATGGCGGATTTTATTTTATTTCGACGGGAAAAAAATCAGTCTAGCGGCTAGCGGATTTTCTGACGGGCCATTTTTGTACATAGCGGATTTCTGTCGGATACCTCACGCAGTGGACCAATTCAAAATCGCCCTGCAAGAAACCATTCCCGTGTTCTCTAAAAATGCGGAAATTGTTTAACTTCAGAGGCTCCTGTTCACTTGCTCCGCCTATCTCAGACAAACGAATCCGTGAGGTTTCAAAGCGGCGATCGCTTTCTAAGTAATAAACAACGGACGAGCTGCGATGCACCAATTTGTGGACTCTGCGCGCCCCCTGCCGCTTGCCGTGCAAACAGTGAGTCCGCTATCGTGCAGGGAGCGGGCTCACTGTTTGCACCGCAAGCGGCAGGGGGCGCCTGTAGTCCCGGTGGGAAGCGAGGCGATTGGCGAAGTAGCTACCCAGTTGTTTTTTTGCGTTCGAAGTTGCAGAGAACAAAGGAAGACGTCCGGCTGCTTTGTGTCGAAAAACGGTTCTGTTTATTCTCCGTGTAACCTGACTCCCCTTCCTCTTGAGTTATGCCGAAAGTGGTATATTCGCAGAAGTTCAGGACGGAGTGGTTAAAGGATCCCTTACTCAGCAAATGGCTGGAGTGCAAAGCGTCTGCTGATGGAAAACAAGTTGCGGCGTGCAAGCACTGCGGCTGTCAACTAGGCAGCAGATATTCGAACCTGAAAGCTCATGCGAACACCAAGAAGCATAGGGAACTGGCTGGCAGTTCTTCGATCCAGAAGCAACTGGGCTTCACTACAAAAAGGCAAGTCCAACCAGGGAATGCCGCTGAGGGCAGAACTGCTCTATTTATCGCCGAATATTCTTCAATTATGACT